GAAGCCTCTTTTTCTTTTTTAAAGGAAGAGAGGCAAGGTCTAAGTGTATGTAGCATTTGAAACAAACTGGTTTTATTTATATGTTTGTGAATCCAAAAGCATTTATTTTAATCCTGTCCTATTGTACACTTAATATTATTAATATTGAGTGACTATAAAATCTTGAAGGACCTTTGGGACTGTCGAAGAATGATATTATCTTATTAATATAACTATTTAATGTGTATGTTGACATTCTGCTTCCTATACAGTCTTATCTGATGATTCTTAATAAATCCAAACATTCATCTAACCATTACCCCAATTATCTTTTCATTCTTGGCAAAAGGGAGCTTCTTAGAGCTGCTGCATTATCAGTGCAGCTCATTTCTGTCTGCTTTTTTTTACTACAAATGTGAAGATATTAATTCACTTTGTAAAAAGAAGAGAAAAGTCTGTCCCAAACATTTTTCTAGTACATTTTCTACCCCTAACATCTTTTGTAACTTTGAAGATCTCTCTCCATTAGGGCCTCTCATGTGTGGGAGTCAGTTGAAGTCAGAGTATAATTACTTCTTGTAGGGAGATTAATGACTCTGGCCTTTCTTTATTCTCTCAGTTCCTATATCTGTGTCACCTGCCTGTTAGCACTCAGATCCTTAATAGGTGCTGTTAAATTCATATCTAAAGGTAAATTGGAAAGAAGTATCATTGAAAGATAAAGAACATGAACTGTTGGGGAACTTCAGAGATTTCCTCTTTCAGTTCTCTGTAAATCTCTGTCAAGGCTCCTGTTTGTTTTATTGCTTACCTCCTCATTCCCCTGAGTTCCCTGGATGCACTGTGGCACTTTGGCCAAAGGTGTGTTCTTCTTGTAGTTACTAAGGCATTTAATGGCCCTAACATTTTATGTTCCTATTCCTTATTTTCCTTGTTATTACCAATCTCCTGACAATCTCTACTTTTTTGTCTTTGGTATATAAGAAAAATATTTTTAGTCTTTTCCTGATTTTTATTCTCTCCTGGAGAATGATAAATTAAACTATGTTCCAGTGAGTAGAAAAATACGAAATCCCGTAAAGCCACCTAGGTTATTAGATGAATATCACAGAGCTACTTATAATGCATTATGGCTTAATAAAGATTATAGATGTGGCCAAATGGTAATTAGCGGAGCTGAAGCTGTAATTAAACCCTATTGTGCTTCTCTATGATCCCTCTTCAGATTCTGTTGCAAAATACTGTACAGTGGTATCTTGTTACTGGTTGCTAATTGGTTCTGGGAGGTGTAAAGAGTACCAAAAATGACAAGTACCTAACAAATTGTTTTGGCTGGAAAAGGATCATAAGGCACGAGACAGTCAACACCAACAAATTCTGTCTTGTGGTCAAGTACCAAAAAAACAAGTATCAGACAAAATTTTCACATCACAATGTGTTGAGTACAATTCAGTGAATTTCAAAGCAGTTGAGTACCAAGATATGATTTTGTAAAAAGAAACTGAATAGATTGAAATTTATTGGTGGACTTTTTCCATTTTTCCCACTCCTAAACCTCTCTTTTAATTAACTAAACAATGAAATAAGGTCATCCTCATACAGACAGATCCTGAACTCTACTTTTTTGATATATATGGTAGTCAGTTTCCTGTGTGTATCAGGTTATTCTTAGTGATCAGTTAATGTTGTTCTCTTCACATTTTTTTTTTTGTACCGGGCATTGAACTCAGGACCTTGCACTTTTCACATATTTTGTATCAAGGTTTACTATGAAATACTGCTTGAAAGCAACAGTGCTGTTTCTAACTTATGGCTTAGCTACTGTTTTCTGGATTTCTTAGTGCTGCAGAACTGGGGACTTGACCTTATTTAGAGCATACTAGCTTATCTTCTTCTGGCCTCCCAGAAACCTGAGCATCCTAGCAGGAAAGGAAACCATTTCCCACAAGAGCTGCCCTTGAAGACTGAGAAAGAGAGGGGCAGAGAAGGAGAGGAGAACAGAGGGGCAGGGAGGAACTGGAACCAGTTGGCAATGAGACATGCCCAAAAAATGCTACCACCAGGTTCACAGGAGCAGCCTAGAAGGTTTAGGCCAATCTCTGTGTCCAAGAAAGAGGACCTTGCAGGGATTTATCTTGCTGATAGAAGAAAGGCATACAAAAGAGAACAAACCCTAAGCACAGGAAATGCACAGTAAATTGCATCTATCCCAGTTCTTTCCCAAGAGAAAGAAGAGAGAAACATCCAGGAGTAAAGATGATCTAATTTCCCCTTTCCAGGGATTTCAAGAAGTTCTTAGAGCATTCCTGAGAGTTCATCAGTGTTACAGCCAGATTCCAGCTTTGGAAAGGAGTAGTAATGATATAGGGGGAAAGCGTAACTCCCAACCTGCTAGGTGTCAGATACGCCAAGTTTGTGTCCCCTGCAATGGAAGAATGAATTCCAAAGGACAAAGGAAGTTAAGAGTAGAAAAGGTCTATTGGGGAATAGGAATAGCTCCTGAGAGACCAGAGGGGTCCTGAAAATGGGTTGCCCCTGGGACTCTTTGTCAGGCGTAATTTATACATCAAAATCACAATCTGGGTACAACGTGGGTCAAACTCCCATCAACCTATAGGATTATAAGTATAGCTGCTTAGCTCATATTGCTCCAATAGGTAATCAGGTAACATAACGAGGGTACATGGGAAAAACAAAGGCATTTTTGGGATGAAATGGGTCTGGATGCTCTGATCACCCACCTGGGTGACTGGTGTCTATCTGGACTTTACTGCACCAGGTAATGCTAATTATGGTACAATTCTAAGTTACTACTTATCCCTTAGGGAGGCATGTAGGCCTGGCCATTGGATCTTTTTTTTTTTTTTAAAACTTTATGATCTTTTTATTATAATAAAGTATAACAACTTGAAACTGTTCTTCAAAACATTTTCATTCTTGAACATAACAATCTTTGACTCAGCTATATTATCTTGTTTTATTATAGCTAAATTATTTGTTTATACACCCTATCCAAATCTCCCCTTTGTTTTTCTTTTTTATTATTTTTGTTTTTGTTTTTATTTTTTCCCTTTGTTTTTCTTCCCATTCCCCAAAGTAAACTTGTGTTTTCACATATAATGTATTTAACCTTTGGGAAATATAATGTTCTAAAAAATTATTCTAGATTATTACTATAAATTACACTAATTTGATTCTTTAAGTTTTCCAACAGGTAATCCTGGGCAAAATAATACCCAGTGAACTGGCATTCTTTTCTCTGCTGCAAAATGTCTAAATAGAAAATCTGAATGGGCTGGGGATGTAGCTCAGTGGTCTGGCCATTGCATCTTTATCTTGAGGCCTGGCCTTTTTCATATGC